TTGTTTTCTAGATCTCAGAATGGTAACAAATGGAAGCAGACATTTTCCTAGGGCCCTTCCAGACAGGCCCTATATCTCAGGATCCGATCCCAGGTTTTCTGCTTTAAACTTGATTATATGAGTCCCCACTGCCAGATAATCAGGGATAAACAGAAAACTTAGGATCAGATCCTGGGTTATAGGGCCTGTCTAGAAGGGCCCCTAGTGACACCTTTCATGGGAATTAGTTTCCTTGTTTTGGGAGAAGCACCTTTGCTGTTTTGACCTACCAAACTTTATAGTCCCTCCTTCCAAAAATATTCCCCCAGATACCGCATTCACAGTCTGCATGATTTTAGGTAAATGAGCCAGTATTTATCGTGTCATCCACAACCAGAACATTGTATTACATTCCTAACAGAACAAAACAAACAAACAGATAAAAAAAACACACACAAATTTTGCAAACTTGGTAGCTGATTAAATGTCCTTTGACCAGTATCTGGCCACTTGGAATGCCTCTGGTGTTGCCGCAAGAAGGTCCTCCATCGTGCATGTGGCCAGTGCAAAATATTTAGTATCAAATCATAAGTCTGTTAACCCTTATGTACCAGTTCATACCATGCTGTATGTGTATCAGAAACAAAACCGAGTTTAATAACTATCTACAGCTGTTTCTAGATTTATCAGCTAAAAAGAAAGCAAAAGCTTTCCTTATCAGAATAACCGAACCCATTGCATGTGTGGCTGCCTCCTTTTCCCTCTTGCTTATAGACCAGCTTTTGCATTTTGGCTACACTAAGTGACAAAGATATTCGGTTGAAAACAGTTGCTTATAACAAACATTGAGTGTGCTGTTCAAGTGAGTGTTTAACGAAGGCTGTTAATTATACTTCCAATATTTCTTCTTTGAGATAAAACATTTCTCTTTTTAGTATCAACCACTCCAAGGGCTTTGTTATGTGAAGTAGGTGCTATGTATCATTTGGCAGTTTAGTATATAATGCGGGCTCATTACCATACTCATTATTGTGAATTATAGAAGTTGCCTAGCTTGCCTTCATTAACCATCTGGCAGTTAAACACTGATTTGTGTTTATATTTTGAAAAAGGAAAAGTTAGTTTTAGGAAACTACCTGAATATCTACCAAAAATGTTGATTTCATATGTTTTCACCATATTGGGCAGAGGGGTGGAAAGGTATCCGTAAACAGCTTGTTCCCAAAGCAGATGCTGTTTTATCTTTGCTATTTTTTTAAAAAAAAGTAGATTCAAGGTGTTGTCACAAAAGATTGATAGAAGAAAGAGGAAAATAATTTCTCTTTATTAACTTTCACATTTGCCTAAACAATAATTTTTCTTTTCATTGAAATTTTTTTGAGAAGAATGTTTTAAGGGTTCAGTGTTTTCTGGCCCTGGTTTCCTTTTGGAAGATTTATTGGCATTTCACAATATTTGCTTTTAGTTTATAAACACATACCTTGAGCATAGGTCAAAGTGTGACATTAAACACTCCAACAGATGTTTCAAAGTTCATTGCTTCCACATTAGATTTCTAGGGGACAGGCAACACTTTAAGATATTTCAAGAGCTCTGTCTCTTGGCTCAAACTGACTTGCTCTAAACAATTGTGTATCATACTTCATTTTTTTCTGTTTCTTGTTTCCTCCTTTCTCACTCTGCTCCCCTGAACACTCATTATAATATAATCTTCAGTTAACAGAGAAGAAAGTTATGCCACCATTCAATCAGATAGGCAAATTTTTCTGTCGTACAACACTTCCAATTCACTTGCAGCATGGAACCCACCAGCTCTCATCCTACAATATCAACCTACTTCTGGCAAAGCTCCGTGTCATAAGTGAAGGGGGAGTGTTGTAAGCCACCACCATGGCAACACGGGAGGCTTCTCATGTTGCATAAGAAACAATGTAGGTGGGGGGGCTGGGGAGCAGATGCTTTCTCCCATGGGATGGGATGAGGGGGAAGGTGAGTGATGCGGGTGATGCAGGTGACAGGTTCCTCACTCCCCACCCCAGGATCCCACCGGATTTGTCATGATGCATGGCAAGTCCCAGCCTTAATGTAATGAGATCCCAAGTCCATGATGTACTCTTTTCCAGAATAGTCTGTGCCCATTTCCTTAAACATGTGATGGAGGTTTCATGGAGCTTGCCACATTTGTTCCCTTAGTTCTAAGTTTTGTATTTAATCTAAGTGACCATTCTCTTTCCCCAGACTACTTTTTGGCAATTCAGTGTATTAACTGCAACAATTTATTCCCACCCTCATATGGGTTTTTTTAAAATTTTGAGACAGATCAATACAAAATGCCTTCTCCCCTCCCCCCCCTCTCTTGCACAACTGAAATTACACTTTTGCATTATCAATCTAACAAGAACATTAAAACTATTCAGAGAGGACAAATTTTGCTTTTCAGATCATAGAAGCATTTCAGGAAACCACACCTTTGATATATTACAGCAAAAGCAAAAACAACAGTAGCAGCAGCAGCAACAACGTCAAGTTGGAAAGAGCTCTAGTGCAAACCCAAGAAATCACTACAAGCAGCCTCTCAAAAGAATAGAATTAAGTGGAAGTGGAAACAACATCAGTCTATAAAACCAAGGATATATATTGCAAGGACTCATGCTTTAGTCTGGAATAGCTCGTTCTTAAAACTAGCTATTGAAAGCCATCAGCTAGCCTCCTTAATAAAGGGAAAACATTGGGAAATGTTGCTAGGATTATTAACAAGTCTAAGGTTCTGACCAAGTGTGCTTCAGGCAATCTCCGTATAGGTCTTATGCCAATAGGAAATGTAGCTGTAGAAATTTAAAGAGTCAAGAATAACCGAGTTGGACGGGACCCTAAGAGGGAAAATGGATTCTCAACATAGCTTGAATTATATATTTATTGCAATGGTGTCCATTTCATGTTCTGTGTCAGTGAGAAGTTTGCAGTAATAATGGTTTGGAGCAAAAGGTGCCTCGCAGTAATTGAAATAAACTTCCACTTGTACCTACACTTTCTCAATTTTTACTGATCCCCATATCTTGCTGCAATAGCCCATATAATATCCCATGGGTTCAAGGGGCCAGAGAGCAAGAGTGAGGAGTCAGAGTCGAGAAAACCAAATTAGAAAAGCACAGTTCTTCATGTGCTCCTTTGAATCTAAACTTATCAAGATCTCTTTGTTTTTATGTCTTGTGTAAAAGCAGCAATCTCAATTAATAGCTAATTAAATCCATCTGACTTTCATTTTTTTCCATTTGACAACATTCACTGGGAACAGCAGGAAAGATGCAAGGGTTTATTTTATTGCCTCATTTATGGTGTGAAATATAATCTAATTTAAACAAGTTATGAAACTGTTTTTATTGTGTATTACAGTGCTTTCACTTAAGAATGTCATTCACACAATAAGTGCTGAATCTTGATTGTTAGCCTGTTAGTCCCTGGCAATGTCTTGTTTCCTAGATGTTAGACTAAAAAGCTGGATTTGCATTGGGTTTGTTTAACTGAGTTCAATCAAGAGGCTGAGTCATCACCATTTACTGTATGGGAAGCATTCTGTGAAAAGGGCTTTGATTGAAACTATCGTTTTCTACATTTCCTGTGCTTCTTGCCACTCTCTGTGTATATGTGCCTTCAAATCACCTGTCTATTCCAAATAATAGACTCATAGAATTGGAAAAGACCACAGGAGCTGTTGCACTCCAGGTGAGGAAGAAGCTCACTGACTTTAAAACACACCACACAAAGCGTGAAGAAAAAAAATCTTCTTTTATTGAAGCTTAGTAAATAGCCAGGAGAAATAAATGCTTGTAAGAAAATAAGAAGGTTCCAAAAAGTAATAAGTCCATTAAAAGCAGTACCACAAAGCAATGTCCACACAAGTAATAAAAACAATCAAAGACAGCATTAATCCAGACAGGGATCAAACAAGATGCAAAGACAATCCAAAAGGCTAAAAAAACTCCACAGGAACAAGATTTCCATGGCACATGAAGTTGGTTTCCAAATGATGCCTGATCTAACAGGTTTCCCCTTGAGGCAAACCTTATATCCCAAAACTCAGAAATTGGTTTCGCTTCCCCCCACATTACACCCTTATCAGACGAAGCCTTTCGGAGCAACGTAAACACTGAGTTTGCTGTCGATCCTGGCTAATCTCCAACCGCCTATTCTTCAGCTCCCTATCTGGCTGCTCATTAAAATTCCCAGGTGTCAGACTGTTTTTTAAACCCAAATCTTGAGAGCTCACAGAGAGAGGGAGTGAACTATCATTGCTAGGCCCAGCAGGAATATTCTCATGAGAAACTGCCCTTTGCACTGGGGCCTCTCTGTCATTGTCTGCCTGAAAATCATTGACCAAACCATCTCCATCTTGTACCTCAGCCTCAGCACCAGCATTTCCCTCATCATTTCCCTCATCATTTCCCACATCAGGATCCTGAAACACAAGCACAGGCTGATTCCCAAAAGGAGCCATTTAGTCCACCCCTTGCCATGCACTCATCTCCAGAGGGGATGTCACCACACTCCAAGGCAGCATGTTTTACTGTTAAACAACTAGACCAGCATTTCTCAACCTGGGGGTCAAGACCCCTGAGGAGTCGCGAGAGGGTGTCAGAGGGGTTGCCAAAGACCATCAGAAAACACAGTATTTTCTGTTGGTCATGAGGGTTCTGTGTGGGAAGTTTGGCCCAATTCCATCATTGGTGGGGTTCAGAATGCTCTTTGATTGTAGGTGAACTACAACTTCCAGCAATACAACTCCCAAATGTCAAGGTCTATTTTACCTAAACTCCACCAGTGTTCACATTTGAGCATATTGAGTAACCATGCCAAGTTTGGTCCAAATCCATCATTGTTTGAATCCACAGTCCTCCCTGGATGTAGGTGAACTACAACTCCAAAACTCAAGGTCAATGCCAACCAAACCCTTCCAGTATTTTATGATTGGGGGTCACCACAACATGAGGAACTGTATTAAGGCATTGAGGCATTAGACTGAACTAGATTGTGGCTACGCTATGAATTTCAAAGGTAAGGAATCCTTGGAAGTGGTTTTGCCACTTCCTCTGAAATGTAGCACCTAGTATTCATTGACCATCTCCAAACAAAGTACTAACCAAGGCCAGCTCTGTTTAGCTTCCAAAATGCTTTTTGTCACAGGACTAATAAAAATGCTGAAAGAAATAATGTTGGACCAGATATACAATCTGTTTTGTGTGTGAATTGCCAAATACGCACCTGGCATGTTGTGTTTGGTTCTTCAGTAGGTTGCCATTCTTGGAAAGATGCATTTAAAAATCCCCAAAGAGACACTACATTTCAGATAGTGATAAACCACACTAAAGCTTGCCAAATGAAATCCTCCACAGGACAATCGCAACTCTTTAAAGAGGGGTGCTTCTTTGACAAACATAAATTGTAAATATTTCTGGTCATTTCCACCTTGCAGGTAGGCTGATCTCTTAATTAAGGTGTATACTTTGTTGTCACTTTTACTGGCTTGTTTAGACTACCCAATAAATGCTTCCATTAGGTTCTTGTGGGTTTTTTCGGGCTATAGAGCCATGTTCTAGAGACATTTCTCCTGACGTTTCGCCTGCATCTATGGCAAGCATCCTCAGAGGTTGTGAGGTCTGTTGGAAGTAGGAAAAATGGGTTTATATATCTGTGGAATGGCTGGTGTGGGGCAAGGAGCTCTTCCCTGCTGCAGTTAGGTGTGAATGTTTAGCTGATCACCTTCATTAGCATTTGAAGGCCTGCCTGAGCCTGGGAAAATCTGTTGCTGGGAGGTGTTAATCTGTGCCTGGTTTTTTCCTCTCTGTTGTTTAGCTGTTATAATTTTAGAGTTTTTTAATACTGGTAGCCAGATTTTGTTCATTTTCATGGTTTCCTTTCTGTTGAAATTGTCCACATGCTTCTTGTGGATTTCAATGGCTTCTCTGTGTAGTCTGACATGGTGGTTGTGTGGTCCAGCATTTCTGTGTTCTCAAATAATATGCTGTGTCCAGGTTGGTTCATCAGGTGCTCTGCTATGGCTGACTTCTCTGGTTGAAGTAGTCTGCAGTGCCTTTCATGTTCCTTGATTCGTGTCTGGGCGCTGCGTTTGGTGGTCCCTATGTAGACTTGTCCACAGCTGCATGGTATACGGTAGACTCCTGAAGAGGTGAGAGGATCCCTCTTGTCCTTTGCTGAACGTAGCATTTGTTGGATTTTCTTGGTGGGTTTGTAGATTGTTTGTATGTTGTGTTTCCTCATCAGCTTCCCTATGCGATCAGTGGTTCCCTTGATGTATGGCAGGAACACTTTTCCTCTGGGTGGATCTTCATCTTGACTCTCGTGGCTTGTTCTTGGTCTTGCAGCTCTTCTGATGTCTGAGGTGGAGTATCCATTGGCCTGGAGAGCCCAGTTGAGGTGGTTCAGTTCATCTTGGAGGAGGTGGGGTTCGCAGATTCTTTTTGCACGGTCTGCCAAGGCTTTAATGGTGCTTCTTTTTTGACTTGGGTGATGGTTGGAGTTTTTATGTAGATATCTATTTGTGTGTGTGGGTTTTCTGTAGACGGTGTGACCCAATTGTTGATCTGGTTTGCGGATGACTAGGACATCTAGAAAAGGCAGTCTTCCTTCATTTTCTTTTTCCATGGTGAACTGGATGTTTGGGTGGATGCTGTTAAGATGGTCCAGGAACCTGCTGAGTTCTTCTTCTCCATGGCTCCAAATGGTGAAGGTGTCATCCACATATCTGAACCATATCGTGGGCTTTTTGGTTGCTGTTTCCAGGGCTTGTTCTTCAAAGTGTTCCATGTAGAAGTTAGCTATGACCGGGCTGAGAGGGCTCCCCATAGCTACTCCATCTTTCTGTTCGTAGAATTCATTGTCCCACTGAAAGTAACTGGTGGTAAGGCAATGGTGAAACAGAGCCGTGATGTCTTCTGGGAACCTCTGGTTGATGAGTGCCATGGTGTCTGCTACCGGGACCATGGTAAATAGAGATACCACATCGAAGCTGATCAGTTTGTCATTTGTATTTAGCTTGAGATTGCTGATTTTTTCTATGAAGTGGGCTGAGTCCTTGATGTAGTGTGTAGTGAGCCAATATGGCTTTGTAACTGTGCAGCAAGAAATTTTGCTAGGTCGTATGTGGGGGATCCAATGGCACTCACGATGGGTCTGAGTGGGGTGGAGTCCTTATGGATTTTTGGGAGTCCATAAAGCCTGGGTGGATGGGCTTCCGATTTACATAGCTGTTGTCGTATGTCAAAGTTTATGGAGGAGTTCTTAATCAGGGTGTTGGTTTTCTTGGTTATTTTGGCAGTTGGGTCTTGCTTGAGTTTTTTGTATATAGTAGGGTCCAGGAGTTTTCTGATCTTCTCCTTGTATTGTTCTATATGCATGATAACTGTGGCATTCCCCTTGTCTGCTGGCATAACGAGGATATCCGGATCTGAATTCAGTTCTCTGATGGCTTGTCTTTCCTTCCTAGTAATGTTACTGGAGGGAAGTTTTGCCTTTTTCAGGATCCTTGCTGTTTCTGCTCGTACTTCTTCTGCTTCCTCCTCGGGGAGGCGATAAATTGCTGATTCAACATTGGCAATGATGTTTTCTACTGGGATCCTGGTGGCGGTTACAGCAAAGTTTCCTCCTTTCGCTAGTATGGATACTTGGTCTTCAGAGAGTTGTCTGTCTGTCAGGTTGATGATGGTCCGTGATGTATCCAGTTCTGGTTTCGGCTGTTGCTTTTGGCGTTTGTGGAATTTTTGTTTTTGTCTGTTGGTGTGGACAGCCATGTTTTTCTCCATTTTCCTGTAAGTGAGGTTGTCTATTTTGTCCCAGTCCTGGGAATTCATCTTCTGGCTGATGTTGATATGGAGGTGCAGCAATTCCTTGTCTGTGTTTGCGAGTTCTTTGCGGATGGTGTGAATTCTCTCTCGTGCTTCCATTTCTTCGTCTTGTTCAAAATGTATTATTTCTGCAGTTCTTTCCTGTAGAAGAGCCCATTACATGTTAATAGTGTTTGACATCCTCTGCTCTTTCCATGTCAGGAACTGCTAATTCTGTCTTAAAAGCGAATTGTTTGAAGTCTGATCAGTGCAGCTTTTAACAAATCACAAATTGCAGGCCCACTGTATCTGTATGTAGCGGTAGGGCAGGGTTAAAATTAAAATCCATTATATCCACAGTCTTTCAAGCAGTACATTGTGCCATATCCAAAACCTGTTTTTGACTATATCATATTTAGCATATTTGGAATGCTGCCATTTTTGAGTGTCTGAAAATATCTCAGAAGAAAGTTTTTCAAAGTCTCTTCCATTTTGATTTGATATTTATTTTTAAAACTTCCAGAGCAGAGTTCCAGTGCAGACATTATCAATCTAAGGAAAACATTTAAACTATTTAGAGAGGTCAAATTTTGCCTTTCAGATCATAGAAGCATTTCAGGAACTTCAACGTGTATTAGGAAAGTTGCAGAATTCTGTGAAACTGGGGAAATATAACAAATGTATATTATCACAAGCATTAGTATGAAATATCAGTATCCAGAGGAACCCCGTAGCTCCATAGGGACTAACTGGGGCTAGATCTATGTTGCCATATAATGCAGTTTGGAACTGCATTATATAGTTAGTGTAGACACATTTAATGCAGTTTAACTAGATCGAACTGCATGATATTGGTCTACGCTGACCATATAATACAAGTCAAGCTTCATTATTTAGCAGTGTAGATCCAGCCTGAGTGAATGATGTTGCTAGCATAAACTTTCATAGACTGAACACTTGTGTACACTGGTCCCGAATCAGTGTAGGGCAGAAACCTGGATATCCAATCTACAGGGACCTCTGGTCCATAATACAGGGTAAAATAGGTTAATCCAGTTTACATGATGTTGGGGAATGCTTTGAAGTTTTGGTGGAAATCCAGAGCAGCCCTGCAATTTGGAGTTAATGTGGAGCACAGAACCAGCTCCAGCGTGAACCGTTTTTTTGTCCTCATGGATCAGTACCACAATTCTGCTTCTGGCTGGAACCACAGACCACCTATTACAATGCAGTCTGAACCCTGCCACATGCACAATGCAGGACCTTCTTCTAGCAACACCAGAGGCACTCCAAGTGGCCAGCTACTGGTCAAAGGACATTTAATAGAATGGCAAGTTTTTAAACTTTGTGTTTTCTCAAATACATTAGTTTGCTCCTGATATTATAAATAAATACCACAATTCCCATTTTCCTTGCATTAATCTTTTTCAGACCCAGTATTCTAAGCTCTGTTATCTCCACATGAATGGACATCTGCGGCTATTTTGCAGAAACTATTACAATGTCTTTGAACTGGCTCTGAAATTCTAAACTAAATTTAAGCTAACACTAAGGAGAGATTCGGGAATACCCCGAGTTTCATAATTTGATCCCCACATTTCTCCGCCTATTTCAGTTTGATAGTATCTGAAGACTAACTTCCTGTTGTTAGTCTGTTTATGGCAACAATCCTGTCTGTCTAGGAACCATGCCAGAACAAAAGGTGGCAACTTGAAACAGAGATAGAAAATTAGTATTGGGACTCAAACCAAGGCCCTTCTACACTGTCCTTGTATCCCAGGGTCTGATCCCAGATTATCTGCTTATCCCAGATTATATGGCAATGGAGACTAATATAATTCAGTTCAAGCACGTAATGTGGGACAAGATCCTGGGATATAAAGACAGTGTAGAAGGGGACATAGTTTTGAGAAGGACATGTCACCTATAAAAGTTATGTAAATCCACATGAGATCTCAGTACACATTGTGATAGATTTTCATTTCTGATGTCTACGTCTTTTAGAAAATAGAAGCTTGAAGAGAGGGTGATAATCAGAAAGTAGCCACAGGAAGCTAGGGCTTAACCCTTTCTCTATTTCCTTTGTTTTCCAGGTGTTATATCCAGCCAAGTCTCTTTCTCTGTCATGATGTTACAAAACTGTAAGAGCTATTTGCTTCTCTAACTCCATGGTAGTGGTGAAAGGCAAGAAGGCAAGTTGCAATGAAAAAGCAAAAAGGTTAAGCACCTCTTTCAGCTCTATTGCTGTTCCACTAAAATTACTCCTGCTTTTTTTCCACAAGAAATGTTTCATATTAGGAGAGGTAGCCAGCTTGGCTTGGCTTAATTTTTTTGATGTGTGTTACCAGCGACTTCCTTAAAATAGGCCTTGTGTTTGTATACATTAAAGAAAGAAGACATCTGCATTAACTTACACTGGATTGAAGAATAATTTCTCATCTTTTCATAAAGTATATGTTTGTGATGGTCTCACTTTGCACAAGTGTTCTCTCTTTTTTTTTTCAACCTGTCCTTCTGCCGTAAAGCCTGTATTATGAGTTAGACTGTCCCAAACATGCTCTCCTAATTTGGTGCAAATCTATCCACAATTTTTGAGCAAATACATGCAGTGTTCCGCTAGGATCCACTTAAAGGTGAGGCCACATAGTCTCGTTCAGACCATCCAAACATGCTTGCCAAATCTGGTGGAAATCCACCCAGCCATTGCCATGTGATACAGTAACAAACATATAGACAGATGGAAACTCAGTTTTATTGCACCTGACGTATACTTTAGCCTTGGGTTAGCTGTAAGATGAAGTAGGCATGTGAGTGCCTTTGTACCTGTTCAACTTGCAGTCTCATCTACTTTCATCTGTCTCAAACTCAGACCTGCTAACCATGCCAAGTTGCTTTAGTGAGCATTTCTAAATACATTTATGTCAATCACAGTTAGAATCACATGATAAATGTCTATTAGCTAAACATTTGGATTTTAGATGCATGGACCTTTTCCATATGGAGCCATGTGAATTTCTCCCATCCTTGCAGATACCTAGACCCCTTTTACACAGCCATTTAAAAATCCAGATTATCTTTTTTGAAAATCTAGATTATATAGCAGTATAGAAGAGGCCCTAGTCTATGTTGTAGAAACCCATGAGAGTTCTTTCACCTCACGGTGCATCTGCACTGTAAAATGAATGCAGTTTGATGCCACCTTGTGAAGGTGCGAGTGGTAAAACACCCACTGCCACCTAATCTATGAGGGAAGCCGGGCAACGCTCAATATCAACCTAGGAGCTATCTTATAAAGGGACTGTGAATTACAGAAGGCTTTGTTCATTTGATAGCGTAGCGTTTACTGTTCCTGGCTGACTTTACCATTGCAGGCTGTTCAACTTAGGAGAAACTGTATCAGGCAAGGCTTGAGGAAAACAGTAACAAGTTTATTTTAACAGGAGTATAACATGTTTAACTGTTTCTTCACAAGAGGCACAAATCTTGATGGTTACATTAGAAAGGTTTCATGAGTAATCTCAGGCACAGACTTCAAAACGTTTCACAGCAGGCACAGCAGGCTTAAACCCAGACAGAAAAAAAATTCAGTTTTCTCTCCAAGCCAAAGAGTGCTAAATGCCTTTACAAACTGCATTTCCCATGATCCCATAGCATTGAGCCATGGCATTCTCAAATGGCATTCATTCTCCCAAAGTGACCCATTTACGGTGGAATCAGGTGTCAAACAGGGATGTGTTATTGCCCCAACCTTATTTTCCATCTTCATCTTGCTTCCACTCCCACCAGAGTGGAAATCATCTATCGGACAGATGGCAAGCTATTTAATCTCAGTAGACTGAAAACCAAAACCAAGATTACAACAACATCTATTATAGAACTCCAATATGATGATGACACCATCATCTGTGCACATTCAGAGGAAGACCTACAAACCACTGTAAACAGCTTTGCAGAAACATACTAGAAGCTCGGCCTGCCATTGGACATCGAGAAAACCGAAGTGCTCTTCCAGCAGGCACCGACCAATCCCTCTGCAATGCCAGAAATACAGCTTAATGGTGTAACATTAGAAAATGTTGAACATTTCCGCTACCTCTACATCCACCTCTCCACACAAGTCAACATTGACATGGAAATAGAACACCATCTGAGCTCTGCGAGTGCAGCATTTATTTCAAATGAAACATAGAGTGTTTGAGGATCGAGACATCCGTAGGGATACCAATGTGCTTGTTTATAAAGTTATTGTCCTCCCAACCCTGCTATATGCCTTTGAAATGTGGACTATCTACAGACGTCACATGCAACTCCTGGAACGATTCCATCAGCGTTACCGCCGAAAAATCCTGCAAATCTCTTGGGAAGACAGGCAGACAAATATCAGTGTGCTAGAAGAAGCAAAGACCACCAACACTGAAGCGATGGTCCTCTGCCATCAACTCCACTGGACTGGCCACGTTATCCAGATGCCCGACCACCATCTCCCAAAGCAGTTGCTCTACTCTGAACTCAAGAATGGAAAACAGAATGTTGGAGGACAAGAAAAGAGATTTAAAGATGGGCTCAAAACCAATCCTAAAAACTGTGGCATAGACACCGAGAACTGGGAAGCCCTAGCCCTTGAGCTTTCTAGCTGGAGGTCACCTGTGATCAGCAGTGCTGTAGAATTTGAAGAGGCACGAATGGAGAGTGAAAGAGAAAAGTGTACCAAGAGGAAGGCGCGTCAAGCCAACCCCGACCAGGACCGCCTTGTACCTGGAAACTGATGCCCTCACTGCAGGAGAACATTCAGGTCAAGAACAGGGTTCCACAGTCACCTACGTACCCACCACCAGGACATCAAACTTGGAGGACAATCTTACTCGGACAATGAGGGATCACCTAATGAATTAATTCTACAGTGTGGATACCCTCCTAGTTTTGTTTCAACAGAGATTTTGAGTCCTCTGCTCTGAAGAAAATCTTTCAGCTCTGTTGGCATGATTAGAAAGGGGAACATATTGCAGTGACATGGTATTCCATTATGACAGCTTTTGATATTCCACCCAAAGATGTGTAAAAATAAAAAGGATTTTGTCTGAAAAATGTGGCCCTAGCTCTCCCCCCCCCCCCCAATTTCCTTTTTTTATTACAGAAAATCAATGTCTGGACATTTTGAGATTAAGTGCCAACAGCTTACAAATAGACAACATCCCCTTCCTTGTAGGGCTGCCGCCTTTATTCTGGGAGAGGATAAGACAGAGCAAACATATAGAACTCATTTACTACGGACAGACATGATTGTCACAGACAATATAATCCTGTCAGCTTGCCTTCCTTGGGAGCATATTGATAAAATATGGCAAGGGAAAGAGAAAGATTAATTCATCTGTTGGGAAATGCCTCTCAAAACTAAAAAGGTTTAAACAAAAATGTCTCAGTATGCCATTACTTTGTGGCACATGCATCATGAAACGTAATTGATGAGAAGCTGACATTTGTTAGGTATGCTTTTAAAGATCTTGTTCACAATGGAAACATCTTTTATATTAGCTTGGGGAATCTGAAAAGTATTCTCTTTTTCAAATACTTAATGATGCATTGAGGTGAAGGGGGAGAGACCCCAGATTCCCAGGGAGCTAATAAAATAAACGTGTTTGTTTTTTAAAAAAATGAGTGTTTTAAAACTTTCTTACAAAATATTTCTACTTATTCTTCATCCCTATAGATACGAGAGTGGTGTACAAACATAGTAAAAATATATGTAATACAATGAAAATATTAGAATCATAGAGTTGGAAGAAACCTTGTGGGCCATCCAGTCCAACCCCTTGCCAAGAAGCAGGAAAATCACATTCAAAGCAGCCCTGACAGATGGCCATCCAGTCTCTGCTTAAAAGCCGCCAAAGGAGGAGCCACCACCACAATCATCATGATTCAAATAATCTTGATACAATAGAGGAGGCAGCGGATACAAACAACCAATGCCAAGGTATAGAAAGTGTCTTGAGCTAATACTGAAATAGGAATACTGTTAGTCCTTCATTTCAATAGGGTTCACTATTATCCATGGTTTCACATGCCCATGTGAACCCTGGGAATATATCTCCCATGAATATGGGGGTTGTAATATTTTCTCTGTTGTTGTTGTTCATTTGTTCAGTCGTTTCCAACTCTTCGTGACTTCATGGACCAGCCCACGCCAGAGTTCCTTGTCGGTCGTCACCACCCCCAGCTCCTTCAAGGTTAATCCAGTCACTTCAAGGATACCATCCATCCATCTTGCCCTTGGTCAGCACCTCTTCCTTTTTCCTTCCATTTTCCCCAGCATAATTGTCTTCTCTAAGCTTTCCTTTCTTCTCATGATGTGGCCAAAGTACTTCATCTTGGCCTCTACTATTCTTCCTTCCAATGAGTTGTCAGGCTTTATTTCTTGAAGTATGGACTGGCTGGATCTTCTCGCAGTCTAAGGCACTCTCAGCACTTTCCTCCAGCACCACAATTCAAAAGCATCTATCTTCCTTCGCTCAGCCTTCCCAATGGTCCAGCTCTCACATCCATAGGTGACTATGGGGAATACCATTGCTTTAATTATGCGGATCTTTATTGCCAGTGTGAT